GTTCATTTTTCTCTTTTTCTGATTTACTCTCTGGCATGTATTAGTATTTTTAATTTCTAAGTGTAATTATTCTTTTGAAATCATACTTTTATTTGGAATTTTCGTTACTCTCATTACATTTCATAACGTTTATTTTTTGGCTTAACTCATACATATATTTGACCTTATTGCTTAACTTCTACTCAATGTATTTTAGTCACTTCGCATAATGGCAAATACATCACTCTCGTCATATGCACCGTTAAGTTTATACTTCTTTTCCTCAGAGTAAAATATTCTGTGTAACAACCAATAGGTTTCTACGCGACATCGCGCGACCCCTAGCCAACGTCTTCGGCGAGTTATTATCCTCACACCCGACCTGCTGCACCCTACTGGTGACTGCTTCTCACTAGAATCCCAGGTAACTACCTATCTGAATAGGGCAAGTCGCTAGTAAGCTTCTCATTGATATTCAAGTGTTAGTTTGTAGGGATTTGATTGGTTACAGGATTTCATCACCAGCCGACATCAGTTAGAGAACCATTGGAAAACCTGGGAGTACTGGACACTTGTTTCGTCCTGGTTTGGGACCCTTCATCAGTGCGCCACCACTGGAGTTCGAACCCAGGACCCGGGGTTATCAGGCCAACCCGTAGACCATTAGGCCACTTGGACCCAATCCAACGGCCCACGAATTCAAACCTCGGTGAGTGCGTATTGATGAAGGGTCTTAAACTAGGGAGAATCAGCTGTCCGGTATTCCCATGTTTTCCAGTTGTTCTCTAACCGATGTCAGTTCATGATCAAACCCTGTAACTAAATCTCTACAAACTAAAACTTGAAAATCAATAAGTTTGCTAACACTTTTGGCTTTATCTATTCAAGTCTTTGTGTATTCATTTGAGTAATATTAATAGTCCAGCCAATTAATGGAACTGTGAGAGTATTATTTTTTCTGTAGAGGTATTTAGTAATTTAGGTTGCAGAGAGATGACAAGAGCTTACAGAATTAAGCGATATCATATTATCATTCAGAATTTGTTACTAACAATGTCTTATTCACAAATTTATTTGCTTTGACCTTCATTCATAGTTTATGTTTGATGCAAAATAATGTTTTTGCATCTCAGCATTACTGATCATTGTCAAAAGTACAACAGACAAATAAATAAATATATTATTAAGGACAAAATATTCAGTGAAGGGGTTCTTTTCAACTAACATATGATATTAGTTATCGTAGCGTGGTTCAGTTCACTGATGAGGAATGCTGTGATTACAAAAGTCAGTCATATTTATAAGGTTGAAGGTAACAGACTACTGTTGGCTCCTCCGAGAAAAACAACAAGGATGTGTGAAATTCTTTCATCGCTCCTCTAAATGCATGATTATTGCAGATAAATAGGAGCTTATATGTACCATCATGTAAGAAATCGAAAATGGTTAACATAAATACTGCTAAAGGCAGTCAAAGCTGTGGAATAGTTAAATAGACAGTGTGAAAGATGCTAATTTAAACATTGTAGAAATTAGGCTGTATTTTCTGTAATGTCAACATAATACCTTAGGTTTTCCCAGATATTTATTCTGTATAATAAGTATCTCCTGTCATTCCAACTTTGTGAACATTCGCAAAAAATACTTTTTACTTACAGTAGTCAGTCTACTTTTATTATCATCCTTCCAATTATACTCCTCTTTGTCAGACTTTTTAATGGTAGAATTTCAACAAGGTGGATGTCTTTAAAATCCCTTTTCATTTCTAACTAACTAAGCCCGCTGCTTACAGTCATTATTTTTTAAATTATATCTTGACTCCACACAGTATTTTTTGATACAGGTATGGAATTTTCAGCATGTGATATCGGTAGCCCAAATTCAGCAGGCCGACTATTGACATCATGTGTGCGTCGGCTGGGGATTGAACCCCGGACCATGTGCACGGTCGGCGAGCTTCCTAACCGCTGTGCATCCGAGGCATTTGTAAATGATGTTCCTGATTTCTAGAATTTGAATGCACTTTTATTATCTTTGTGTTGTGAGTTGCTTATTTAATTTATAGACAAGTTAGCTGTGTATTCAAAACAGAATGATATTAGATTACCCCAAAAATTTCGTCTTTCGCGTCATTCATTCGATAATTAAAGGTATCATAAGTTACGGTTAAGGATAAACGATTGTTAGATGGTGTGGTGTATAAACTGTAATTAAGTCAACATTTGAACATTGTATTTCCATTTGTCGGTTAAACACAATAACTTTTCAAAGGCATTGGTAATAGTATAGCCATTTTGTTTTACAAGAATACACTATGCTAATACTTTTGATCGACTAATACAGAAAACAATCGTACTGTCGACATTCCCTATGAACCTCTACTGCCAGTCAAATTATTCAAACTAGACATACATCATACACATCACAACTATCATAGGAATCTTGTTTTATTCATAATGACATCATACACTGGACGACTGAGGAGGTTTTAGCAGACGAGGTAAATCTCACTAAGCTCTAGTCTATGCATTCAGAGTTGCTTGTAAATAAAGGAAGCCACATGACAGACACAAAATGATGACTTTATGCATTACTAATATAGAACTTAACTCGAAAGTGCTTCGAGTATAGGCAGGTGTAATGAAACGATAACAGACAGAAGTGTAAGAGAAAGAGAAAAACTATACTAATAATGGGAACTTAATCAACTTGGAAGATCAGATGCAATGGGTAAATCTGGGCCAGAGTAAATGATCCTGCGCTACATTATCAACAGTCTCAAACGACTGATTCTGAAAATTTCAAAGATATAAACCAATCAGTCCAAACCTCTTTACATGTTTCAAGACACCAGTCAAAGATTTCATGGATTGATGTCACTTTCTTGTATAACTATCCCTGATCCTATATCCGTTCACATTGCCCTCTGGCTCTGCCTTACCAGCTTCATAAAATCATAGTTTGACTAGCCCTACTTATTTAACACTAAGCTTAACCTCACTGTTACTGACCATATTACTATGCAGAGACCTATGATCAAAAATAGGTAACCTTTCGTAATCTTTACTTTCAACAGCTGTTTTACAGACAAGCAAACAGCTGCATAGTATACACGTCCTTTGGTGGGCAGTCAAACGTTATGTTTATGCCAGTGATGAGGCAGGCTAGCAGGTGCCAAGCGAATCTTACTCATCCCTGGTGAGAATGTTTCAGCAATCAGTTTTTTACGGATGACACATCCTTCTAAATGAATTTAGGGTTCAACGTATTCAACAATGTTACTCCTTATCTATAAACTAGCAGCAGGCGCAGACCTAGCCAGAAGTATCACCTGATATTTGACAGGTGTCGGTTTGTATGCCTGACTTTATGAAATATAGGCTCAGTCTTCAAATGTCCCTGCATTTTGTCAGCATCCCTACCTAAAAGTATGCAAACTTTATATCCTTAAGGCTTCTCCGTAATAACAGACAAATCCATGAGATATTGAAGTTCACAATGTTAACATGCATTAACGCAAACAAATTAATAACTAATCACGAATGTCTAAGTGTTATAACCCGATACTGATTAGAACCAAAAAGAAACTTGAGGAAGCGAATATACTGACAGCAATTTGTGAGCCTAACTGTTGTAAGAATAAGTTCGTTAAAATACAAAGAAATATGTCTAATCATATAGAATTATGTTTCGTATTTCTAGTTAGACATAGTTCAACCTGTCAGGACAAATATTGTCAAAAATCAACACTTCAGAGTACTAAGAAACACTGAATAGCCATTATGTGATATTTTGGGACAACTTATCGATTGGTACCAGCTATATCGGCATGCAGTACGAGTACTTTACTGTCCACCCACGTTGTAATCCACTGACGCATTAATTTTTGGCAAGCGATACCACGTCTCCACTTTTCAGTATTATCGACGAGCATCTGTCTTCATATTCAATTTATTGAACTCCACCAGTTATAATTTCTCATCAGAACATTTAGAAACCGTTCCACAGTCATTTACCAGTCAGAAGTGAAATAATTTTCAACCGATGCATATGACTAATTTCAAGGTAGGACTCATAAATCAAAAACTAGGGAGCTTTTTTAAAGTTTTAGTCGATATATCTATTGGTTTATTTAGTCTGACGAAAGCACTCTAGTTATTCAACTGATTTTCATATCATCTTTCAAGTTGTCATGTTTAATCTTTTTTTTAACAAATAATTGATTCGGAAAAAAGTAGACATAGGCTTGAGTAGTTGGACCCTACGTTAATGTATAATGATGGATTAGAAAATGTTTAGTTCGCTAACTTACGATTAGCCTTTGTGGAATCAGCAGACGTATTACTCAGTGATTGAAGATGAAATGAAAGTTTGCATTGCCGTAGGATTTGAACTATCGGCTTCCAAATTACTTCTATTTCACTTTCTCACTCAATTATTTAACTCATTTATAGATTACCCATAGGAACACGATATACTATTATTGTGCGACTAGTTATAACATAGCTCACTGTTCGAGGAAAAAACAGTCGATTAGAAAAATTCATATTTTGCATACAATCAGAGAACTGATAGGTATGGGCACATGTTTCCTAGCAGGATATCCGGGATCGAACAGGATTCAGCTGAATTATGTTTTACAAACTTTCCACCAACAAACTGTTTGTCTCACGTATTAACAGAAGAATAGTTTAAGCAGGTTTCAAACACTAGACGCACCAGACAAAAGCCATGTGCTAGAGTATAGAAACTGTTATATCACAGAGCTTCCTCTGATACCAGGATAAAGTTAGAACTCCTAAAGATGATCATTGCTGTCATACCTATTAATCATATATTGTTTCATTTGTTTCCGCAAAATCTCATAAACCACCAAACAGCAATGTCCATAGACTTCGCAAAATATGAAGCCCAATCAATCCTTTTATTCTTTGACTGACTAATGATTTCACCATTACCATATGGTTAAACTAAAAACTTGATAGAAAAATAACATAATACATAGAAAACAACCGCTAAAGTACATTTACAATTAATTTTATTCGTGATTAAACATGATTCATGTAGAAAGATTATTGGGTACAAAAAATAGGCAAATGTGTATGTGTTGTGTCTGAATTAATATCTGCTACAGACAAAACTTATTACAATTATATATATATATATATATAGTTTGTTTACAACATGCTCAAAAGTTTGCACTTATACATCCATTTCGAACGGTGAGTCATCACCTAGAAGAACAAAAAAATTAGTGATATCAGAAATAAATAAATAAATAGAAATATAGATGTATTAAGTATAGGATCCAGGGTTTTCAATTAGATCAATGGTGTTTGTATATAATGTGGTGACTGATGTAGCTTCCAAAGTTTCAGAGCTTTTCAAAGTCTATCACTAAAGTCTACAATACTATCAACGAAAGCCGAACAATACGATATTGGGATTTAATGAAAAAGAAGCCTACTGACTTGAGCGTCATAATTGATAGTAATTGTCAGCAATGCGCATTTACAGCTGCTGATTTTCAGCTTCGAAAGCTGCCTACAAAAAAAGTGGCTAGCCCTAAATTAGGGGTAGTGCTGGTTGTAATTCTATGCATCTATCTACTCCAAGGTTTTTGAGGGTAACTATTCGACTTTTAATAAATAGTTGACCATTAAGATTTAAACTTACATCCACTAGGCTATTATTCAGCAATACGTAACTACTACTGGACACTAATTGGCTTAAAACAATAGGATCATAAGGTCAGAATGTTAAAATTTAGTCTATGGATCAAGTTCCAGGGATATATTTTCACTTGTTAACTTACGACGCAGCCTGACCACTCAGCGTAATTACTTGGCAGTTATCCTCAAAACTAAATTGCTTGGGACCATTATTTTCTGACTGTCAGATTTTAACCGAATTAGTAACTGTTAGTTTAGCCACCAGTGAACTTGCAGACTTTATGAATCATTTTATCGTTTTCTTCATTGTCAGTATTATCAACAACAACGTCACTAAGTAAATGACATAATCCTGTTGATGTTTTACGTATGTAAAAACCTTAATATGTGCGGCTGTGTTGAAAGCTTAAGATTTAGAACTATATACTGAAGGCATTATACTCTCCCTAGCCTTTGTATTTATATGTGGGGTGATAGCTAGGACGGACAAGTTATGTCAGAAGCTCTTTGGTTTTTCAGAAATGATACAGTTTACCTAACTGATCTGCCAATCAATAAACCACTACGATTTAATAACGTCTACTGACGATAAGTCACAAGAATCATAATGGTATCTAATGTCCATCCAGCTTACATATTCTATTTATTTATTTATTTTTATTTTATTTATTTTTGATTACAGCTTGATTCCACACCGTATTTTTGGTACAAGTATGGAATTTTCAGCGTGGATATCTGTAGCCCAAAATTCGCAGGCCGACCATAGATATCATACGTGGTAATCCAAAAAAATTAGCACTTACCTTTGTTATGATCAGTTTCTTTACTCTTTGCGGGTGGAGAACTCTTTGTTTCATGACTGCTAGGCAAGTGAGTTCCTTTACCATTATTCACACTTGATGGATCTATTTCTGGTAATAATATCAAATCACGCATTGGGCTTCGAGCAACCTGTGAATTACGGCAACTGAGAATAAAATCACGTTCATACACAATACGAGTGCCGCCTGGTGTAGTACTGAACAAAGTTCCACCTGGAGTTGTACTACAAAAATGATTATAAGAAGTGGGTATATTCGTGCTGAAGGAATATAAATACAAATAAAGCTACTGAATGGATAAATACTAATAGTTCGTAGACAATTGGTGGATGGTGGCTAGCAGTGGAATCCAGGATGCGCATTTCGTCCTATTTGGGACTCGTCAGATGGATGTACCTACATTTCTTAGTGAGTGATGATGTTCCCACCGAGGCTCGAACTCAGTACCCATAGTTTCAAACGCCTAAGCGTTATCCACTAGACCACTTGGGCCACGAGAGCCACCTCTTGTGCAACGGGTCATATTAATTATTGAATTGAATTTTTGATTTTCCCGTCGATTGATTGGACCGAAGTGCTCGGTCTCAGGTTGACATGTCGTCGAAGCATCTGCACAAGAAGCCGACATGTCAACCTGAGACCGAGCACTTCGGTCCAATCAATCGACGGGAAAATCAAAAATTCAATTCAATAACTAATAGATCATAATCAAACTACTTTTCCTGCGTAACACTCACCTGGAAATCAGTTGACCGGTATCAAGCTTCTACCAAGCTAACAATCAATTACCTTTCCACTGCATGGAAATATGCTTTGGCATTATTGTAAGAGGAAGTTATACTGCAGGATAAATAATGAATAGCTTAACAAGAAATAATTAAAGCCTCACTCTAAGAACCTAGAAAAGTAGGCTTTCAGAGCTGTATATTACAAATCGCCCAGCGGATCTCTGCCTCATTAGGCAGTCGAGAAACAGCTTTGCGAACACAAGCACTTCTAAGAGAATTGCTAACGCCTTTTTGGCCTGAAGAACCAATCAACTTTCTGGGCTGTGCACTATGAAATAATAAACTCCATGATCTAAGTATGATAATCATTTGCTATTCCCATTTTCATTTTTTTCATTAACTCTTTTTCCCGATGACTACTGTAT